CATTTGTTGGAACAAACAGGTTGCGTCCAAGTGGTATGTTGCGTTACATAAGGAAAGGATGCTTGTGGTTGCCCGAATACGTGTGTGTAGTCGGTCAGACTGCGGAGACAGTATTTAGGACAGGTGAATAGCCTCGACGCGACGAGATTTTTGGCAAAGACGGTGGGCGGCACACGTATGATAGTTGGCGAAACCTAATGATTGATCTGGACGCGGATGGCCGAACATGCTTTTGCAGGCGATTGGGATGACGCCGTCTCAAATCGCGATCCGGTCGATTGAACCCTACCACACCTTCGGGCTCGCAAAACCGACATTTTTACGAGAGGTGATGGCTTCGAGCTACCTAGGTCATAATTCTCCAGCCCAGTCTCCATCAACAAGCGCCATGATCTCCATTCTCCTCCGTCCAATGTTGACATTCCGCCTGTACAGAAAAATTGGTTTTGCGGGCAGCGGGCAGGTAAGCACTGCTTCCAGTGACATACTGACGAGCCAAGTAGCCTAATCGTTTTCGCGTGAATAACCAGCATTGGCAGAGACATCTCGGTCATTGCCGACTCGGGTAAGGCCAGCCACGCGATCATCGCATAATATCCGACCACTTCCTATGAATCCGAGAGCTGTCAAGTTTAGAAGGCGTTTAGTAGCTGCTGAGTCCTTACCCTATGTGCGTCCGCCATCATTGTCTGTTGCGATCTCTGGTGTTGCGTCAGTGAGTAAATCCGCAAAGTACGAATATATCGTTGGGGAATTTTATTGATGGTAGTCGAACACTCCCACCCGGATCACAAACACACTTTTATCATTATGACTATGATCGATTACGACAAGCGTACTGCCGTGTGTTTGGGCCATGAAAATGGTCTGGACTGGTGTACCCGGACGGGAATTATGCCAGACCTTCTGGTATCGGACAAGCATCCGCGTGAGGTCGAGTTCCGGTCAGCGTCGTTTGTGAAGGAGGGAGGCGAAATGCATAGCGTCGATAGCCCTAACGCACTAGTAGACAATGCTATATACTTAACAGTGATTAGTCTACAATAAGGTTAAAATAGGTGTATAAAATTGCATCTTAGACTGACGTCTGCATATTTACATCATAATTTGAAATAACGTTAAATTCACACATCGTAACGTCGAAAAACAAATGCTGTCTCATTTTGGGAGTTCTTAAACCATTTATTTATGTAAGTAGGACCATTCCAGCGCAAATAACCAGAGTCGGGGATGTATGTTCGCACATAATTCGTGACTACTAATCATGTGGATTCATGTGAATTCAAAGTCAGTATAAAAATTCTCAGCGCCATACGACTGCATATAGGAGACATGTTAGCTGTCACTGGCCCGAACAGTGAGAGCGAAAAGTATTCTTAAAAAAACCGTTTGGTCGTCGTATGTGACTTTCCTCCATCAACGAACCGTTAACCAAATTGTCCGAATAGTCAGGTGCTGCTCAAGAAGTCTCCGGAGTTATTGGACACTTGCCATTTATGGAAATCCATTTTGTTTTGTTTATTTCAAGGGTTTGGGAATAATTTTGGTGCTTGTTACTACTTGATAGTGACTGTACTGTGAACCTTCGCTACTCAGCCTGTACGTCAGAAACACTTAGTATACTTGAAGCTGAAGTTTCTTTGGAAATCAGGAATTCTTCTGTGAATTTCCTAGCAGCTGACAGCACCCTCTTGCCAGTAAGAATGACTGAGAAATTTGTTCGCTTGCTGGAGAATGAGGGATAGGAAGGCTACGAGTGATAAAAAGGCTAGAAGTCACGTACTGGGACGTGTGAGGTGGGCGTTTGGGGACTCAAGGAGACAGTTGTGGCCAGTGTAAATCACATGATCATTCCAATCTCCAGAAAGTTGGATCATCATATAAACACGCCACCCTTCCCTCCTATGTGCACGCTATCTGCCAGCCCGGCCCTAGATGTTACCTATTATAGTTCGGTCCCTGGCCCGCTCTTTGTACTAACGCCAGAACGTAGACTGTAGCCTTTCTGCCTCAGATGCAGCTAGCACTTTTGGCCCTCCCCCGCTCGTTCCTCACAAACAACCCAGTCATTTCGTTTAAAAAAGGCGTCAATATAAAGTTCAAAAATTCACGATTAAACTCCTGATTCCGAAGGGCTGTCGGCTTCCTTTAGCGGAACCTCAGCGCCAACTACACCTCCCTCACTCGCGAGTATAATTAATATTACAAAAGCATTCTACTGCAACTTAGTAAGTAACAACTTTACAAAAACGCCTTATGCCCTCACCAGTCGGTCCGGCAGTACGGCTTAGCCTCTCGGTGAGTTAACAGTTAGAACTTCAAAGTTTCCTACAAAGTAATTTAAGGGATAAGATGGGAGGCTATAACGAAAGGCTTAGGTAAAGTAATTCCAGAGTTCACTGTGACGCTGTCTGGGGCCTAACATAGAGTCAAGTACTGAAAATTAGGCCGTCAGAGTGCAGATCTCAGTGGAAAGATGATGGGCTAGGTCAGAAAGGCAAATGATCTAGGAGTTTATAGAACCATGTGACTTTCCAAAACCTCGCTGAACTTTCTCGACTGACAAAGCAATAATCTTTCCCTCTCACCTAAATTGCTGTTCAGCGTTAAGTGCGGCCTTCTATTTACTTCTGACCTCTACGACTTCATGGCAAGAAAAGTTCTCACTTCTGTATGCTCTAAGGTAAATTAGGTCAGTATGAGTACCTCCGTTGGACCGAATCTTGAAATTGTAAAGAATTTTCAAGGTAATAATTTCAGAAATTATCAAGTGTAGGATATGGAGTCAAGTGTCCGGGACATGACTTTTTAGGCTCAGACGCGAAATATCAATGAGCATCTGATCCGAAGACAATCGACCACTCTGGAATATCCACTTGATTTCCATTCTACAAACAAGTATTACTAATAGTAGTATAAATTTACATGATAGATGGTTCTACCGTATTCTCGACATAGGTACTAGCAAAAACCCCAGACACGTGTTTCGCCGATGCCTCTGCCTCTGCATGACGCAGCTGCATAGGATTCGGCTCATCGGTGAGACATTACATAGGTATTCCACAGTAGTTGATTGTCTTCGACTCAAATGCTCATTTGTATTTCGAGTCTGACCCTAAAAAGCCACACCCCGGACACTTGACTCCATGTCCTGCACTTAATAATTTCTGGATCTATTACCTTGAGTATTCTCTGGAGTTCACATACGAGAAACCGCATGGGATACGCTAGGGGACCCAGTGAAGAGCCGAACACCTCGCAGATAGGTCATGCAGTAGCAGAAACACGGCGAAACACGTGTCTGGGCTTTTAACTAGAACCTATGTTGAGACTACGGTACAACAGTCTGTCAACTAAAGAATTTTGCTAAGATGTGCGAGGAAACTTTTAATTTATATGGTATTCCTGGTCGATAAGGACGACAAAATCCCATAAGGTAATGGCTAGTTGTAACTTATCTCACAGTAAATATCGGTTCCGTAAGAGTCGCCTCATTCTCCCTTCCACGACCACTAACACCCAGGCGAAATCGAACCTGGTCGCCTACAATGGTGGTCGGTTTCCGTGTCTGAACTTGCCCTTCCTTTTCGTATCTCACATTCTGAACACGTGTATTTCCCGATCGTCACGAATGAGATGCCCTTGGACGCTGGTCTGAAACTAAACATTTGTTCCTCTTTCCATCCGACAAAGCAGTACAATCCACTATGAGAACCCATCACGATCGACAGAGCTGCTGTCTCATACGACTGTTGACAGGCTAACGCTAAGCAAGAATTTTGAAAAGAGCATTTCCTGCCTAGTCCCCAAAGGAGAACAACATTAGTACTGCCAAAATGCGCTCTACTGCTCATTCCAAAAGATCTAGCTTCGACAACAATCTAGGGTTTTTTAAAGCTGCCCTGGAGGCAAGGTTTTTTGTTTTTAACTATCAATAGGTTTATTAGCACAACCAACTCTGAGAACTTTGAAGCATCATCCCACGTAAACAGATCTGTTGCCTGGCCCGTTTCTTCCAGTTAATACAAAAGATGTCCCTGAAATTGCATATTTTCCAATAGATTTATTTGCAAGTTGGGGCTGCTCGTCGCTGTGGCCGATAGCTGACTGCACATGAAGTGAGAGCCGCTTGCTGTGTCGGCGTTCCTCTCTATCTATCTATCTCTCTGCCCTCTCCAATGTACCAGTCCACTAATCGAGCATCTCTGTCAACTGGTGATGGGATTGGGTGCAAGGACTAACAAAACTTAACAGTTCATCTATGAATGCCACACACGGTCTGATTCCCTTACCATGTATCGGGCAAAACGCAGAACATGCCGCCCATGCACCAGAGGGATGCATGTTCTTGTGTGCGATCTTTCAACTACCCTCTCGGTGCTGAAGATGGTAACCTCGTGCTTGCTTCGAAACTGATGTGCAGTGCGTGGCGGAGAGGTGCCGTATAAATGCGCGTCGCGAGGTTGACTCGTGCAAAGTTGGGCGTGTTGGGGCGAATTGTGATGATGGTGTCTCGACTGTGGTGCTCTATCCACACACCACATAGTGGAAGAAATCCTACCCGACGTGGTATTGTATATGAAGTGAAGGCCGTGTCCTGTGCGGCACGCGCAGACAGACCGGTTATATTTGTCCGCCATTCCGCCCAATCTCACCCCCCAGTCAGCTTGACTCGGACAGGCCATTGGTGTATAGGATATGGGGAGAGTTAGGGTGATATTAAGGAGTTTATCCGTAAGAAAAAGTGGCGCACCTGACCCCAGAGCAAAGTGCGAAGAACTGTGTCTTGATAGGTTGCCAACTGGCGTGATAATTCGGTCCTTCTGGAAACAGAGTGCAATGGTTCGCTCATAATGAGATCTTCATGAAATACCCACCTATGTGGTATTCGTGATTCCTTTAATGCAGCCCCATCCATATTCAGTGGGGACCTGGTCGTGTGTTTGACACGCGTAAACGGATTTGGCCTTCTTAACTAATGCGCCCATGCTCACATCCGGTCATTCCGACATGAAAGCACGGAGAATGTGGCGAGATAGTGGGGTGGAGGCTGTGAAAACCCGTCGCAACATTGGCAGATTTATGCGCGAATCGCCGCTGCTCAGTCCACCTCGTGGGACAGCGGTGGACGTCGTTACTTGCGACAGACGAACTACATCATCATCATCATCATCATCATCATCATCATCATCATCATCATCATCATCATCATCATCATCATCATCATCATCATCATCATCACCATCATCATCATCATCATCATCGTCATCAGCATCACCATCATCATTGTCATCTGTGCATGTTCACCGGGCAGCCAGGCGTCGCGGGGGCAAACTACTCGACACAACATCTTAGCATACATCGTCATCACCATCAGTTGCACTACCTGACTGTACGAAAGGAGTCCACATTTTAAACTGCAGCTCGTCACTGTGACCGAGAGTTGACCGATTGTTAGAAAGTGCTGTATGACTCCAGGACACTTGCAAAGGTATACGGAGATGGACACAGTTTTGTTTTGTTCTCTCATGGGATAAGTCGCCACTATTTCTTACGACGGAAATAAAAGTTCAGTTAATCTCTCTGTACCACCACCCAATTGAAACCACCATACCTCGGATATGCTTTAAGTCTGGTCCGCCTACGCGCAAAGTCGGCCACGACTGGCGCAGGCAGTGTCTCCTACTAAACAAAAAACTTGGTCTACTGCTTACAGGAGGATGTGTTCAAATTCGATAACAGGGCATAACAAGGAAGACGGAGGGACAGAAACACGGAGGCGGGGGGGGAGACGGAGAGGTAGCAAGGCATTAGCTAGGGGGTGAAAGACAGAGAGAGGGGGGGCGGTCTCAGTGAGATCACGCTTTAATGCCCGCTGCCACGTTGGCGGAGAGAGGGAGGAGAGGGAGGGGGGGAGCATTAGTATTCTGTCCGACGACCAAGGGAAAAGCCAGATTTGCCTATTATATAGGCGGCTGCCTTCTTTCCGGCTTCGACTGCGTCGTCAATGGAACCGCAAGCGATGAACTCAGAGATGAATCCGGCAGCAAAGGCGTCACCTGCGCCATTGGTATCAATCGTGTTCTCCGGAGGAATTGGATCCACGGGGATGGTACGTATGAGCATGTCCTCCGAGGAAACCAGGAGGATGGGATCGGGTCCCTGGGTGATGATAACGAGCCGATGTCGCGGGCGACCCACCCAGCCGTAGCCGGCAAAGAACTTGGCCACCGCACCCAACGAGCGGTCTTTCAGCTGGTGAGCCTCAGCAAAAGCCAGAGTCTCATCGCCGGTGCCGATAACGAGGTCTGTGTATGGTAGAATTTTGTCCACGCGCTCTGTAAACAGCCGGCTGACGTAGGGGGCGCCCAGGTTGAAGCATACGACCTTTCGACGCGCAACCGCGTGTTCTGCTATTGCCATGACACTGTCCATG